TTAGTAGCAAGCTAGACAGTGTTTGATAAAACTCTCCCACTAATTTGTCCATATTTCAGCCATTTGGTGCACAATAAGAGATTGTGAAAAATATCAACAAATGTTACTGTCTCCCCCTATTTTAGCTAATCATTTCAACCAGATAGTCCGCATGCTTCTGTTCAGTGAGTAGTGAGTGACCACTGAGCCCAAGTGACAATTTTTTGAGGCGAGTTACATGTGTCCCATTCAAAGGTGGAGTTTCTTCTGTACAAAAGACATTATTGTCAGCCATGGGGTAAGTTACAATGTGCAATCTTTTAGGACGACATTTTTCAACTCACATTCTTAGAGTGGAAAGGAAACAGAGTGAACTTGCCGGTTATTCGAGTATAACATCTTACATATACACCAGAAGTAGGATTTCATCATCAATCCCCCAACAGCATCATCGAGTAAGAAGCTTTCACTCTGATGGTAACTGCTTCTAACTTAGCTGTCAACCGACCTACCTTTCATGTTTTGCAGGCTCCTCAGAAATACTCGTTCTTGTCACTGAAACCCATCCGGTTACTACGATATGCAAGCTCAGCCATCATGTTGGCGTAAAAGCTGCCGGTCAGGTGAAGGGTCTTCAAACATTCACTAATCCCAGTATTAATGTGTGTGTCAATATGCAGTTAAACTAATGCAAGTACTAGCATAAAGTACTTGAGAATTACAAAAATCAGTAGAAAGACGCTTTAGTGTTGTAATACCAACGTTCTGATCGTTTTGAAAATGGTTTCCCTCAAATATCTATCAGTTCAGTATAACTGCGACACAGTGCATAACTTATGATATTTCAACAAAGCTTAACTACTGTTATTTCATAGACAGTATGAAGAATTCTTAGGCAGTTAAAAGCGTTCTATAAATACCAACTTATTATCAACTTAAATTAGTATTTCAGTCTAAATTTACATGTGATGTTAATTCATTTAGTAATCTGATAGAATATAGGTTCAAAAAAATGTTGATCAATAAATATTCACACAGCACTTTTACGATACTTTCTTTCTCAACTGACCACTTTTATTAGCAGGATTATACAAAAAACTGTCAACAACTAAATGTTTGGAGAATCTCTTTTACGTTTACAAAGCAAAAGGTTACTATCTAATAGTCAATTTAATGAAAATATGAAATTGTTAGAATTAATAAGAAGTCCTGAACTGGAAAGCAATCCATTCTCACCAAATATGTATCAAAATATAAAGCAGGCTCTTATAAACGCAATACATCTTTCCTACTCATTAGACGAATTTACCACTTGTGAATTAAATACCGCTGAATATCAATGGAGAATTAAAGGATTTCGATGATGAAGGCAATTTTTCAACTGAAGAAGGACGTAAAGGAAACAATTAACTCATAATATACAAATGGCTGCCAAGATCTCTAGTAAACATAAAATAAACTTCCACTCTGTTATATGCGATAACATGAAGTCAAACAATTTGTTTTTCCAGTAGTCGAATTCATTTATTCAAAGTATACCTTACAACTGAGTTTTAGCACTGTCAACTGACTATGCATTAATTTATTTCAACTTCCACTGTTTCTACATTTCAGTCAAATGTGAAGTGATGTTAAGAAATTAATTCATTCTTCATTTTACTTTTATTTCCAAATAAGCGTTATTTTTGTTAGTGGAACTAATATTTTCAAAACATATTTATTACTTGTTTTGAGAATAAATGTTGGGATTGAAATAAATAAATAAATGAGTAATTTAGAAGCGATACAAAAAGTAAATTGGTCCACCGTCTCAGTTTTCGTACAGCATATCAAGGAAAACTAACATATCAGAGGTTATGAATACATTTCTAATTGACAACAGTTACCCACTTTCAGGCGACAGAGTTTGTTGACTTTGTGTCTACGTAAAAATAATGAGAATTCAGGTAAGTATTGACAAAGCCTTAGTGTAATGTAGCCCTCAGTTGTGTGTGCGTACGATAAATTTTAGCAGATAAAAACATAGTTGTGGATACCGCTAAAACCTGCGTTGAAGATGTTGTCTAGAAGGATACTGAAAGCTTCTCAATTGAATCATTCAGCTCAGAGTACACAACTTAATCAAAATCATCCACCTGAGCTACAGTGTAAGCTGTTATCGATAAATGTTCAAGTTAGAAATGGGTGACCAGATACAGGTCTACAAGATTTTTTTCTAGTTGACTTAACATAATCTTGATTGCCATGTGCAGCTGATATACTAAGAGGTATTGAACATAGTAATAATAATGATTTACTTTATTCCAAAAACAGTACTTGTGATACAGAATGGAATTTTCAGCATTAATCACAATATTGCATCTAATTTCCCCAAATTATAAATAAAAATTAATCACACAGAAAATTTTCCACATTTACCATAGAGGTAGTGTCAAAAACATGCAGCCTATTAATTGGAATAATAATAATGATAACAGCTAGGGTAATAATAATAATAAGAATACAAGTAAAAATTGCCGTTGGCTTGTGTCACACAGTATTGGCAATGTGGTATAGAAATCCTAACATGTTTAAAAATATTGAATATAATGTTCTCTTTACATGATATGGTGAAGGAAAAAACATAGATTACAGCCGTCATGGAGATAAGTTGGTGTTTGCAATTATGAGAGTAAAACAGAGAATTAACAGGACCATAAATATAATAGAAATAGTAAAAGTAAAACTTGAAGGTATATAAGGATGGATGGAGGAGATTGTTTATTCATTAGTTAGTTCTTGCCTGACACTATTTTCATCACATAAAATTCGTGCCAAGTATGGTATCATAGAATTTTTATACTTAGACGTGCGAGCATTCAGTTTTCTGAAGTTACTTCTTGTTCTACCTGAGGAGATGCAAGGTGAAAGCTGAGGGTAAAGCGGATGTATAACATGTATTGCTGCTGTACTTTTAAAGGTATGCTGGTTTCTATTCACTTAATCCAGCATTAGATAAACTCTGTTACATGAAGTATGATGAATCTAATACTTAATGATCCGTAAAGATACCAAAAGCTTGACTAATATACGGTTAATATTCTAGACATTCATATTTCTGTGTTTCGGAAAAAGACATTTAGTTGTTTGCAAGCTTAACTAATCGTTTTCACGGTAAAAATACATTTCTGGGGATAATTTTCCTTATTTTTGCAAGACAAATGTATCTCATATACCTTTAACAACCTGATAAAATGCTGTGTGCAGTCAGCTGGTGTGTGTTATGATAGTCAAAATCAGGTGATTTGTTTATCTTGTCATTACGCTATGCCGCAGACATCTTGTAGTTTGATTCTACTTAAGTCTGAATCACTGTAAACATTCCATTGTTGGGCTGCTAGTACCTACCTATTTATTTACCTTTAAAGGATGGAAAACTGGTAATCTAAACTTCTGATAAACTGTGAAATCTTTCAAGTCAAGTCAATGTAATTTCTCATAGTTGAGCATAAACTTATTGTAAATTCTAACTGAATACAGAAAAGAAGAAAAAATCCCTTGTCCATTTTAGTCCAGTTTAAACGAAATTAGTCATTTGATTATGAAAGATAATTCTACTGCATTTTGACTGTTCTTTTCTGGTGAGGACAGCGTCCCTGTAACGCTAGCTAGATAGTGACATGAAAATGTCAGAAATAGCAATTATCGGTGCTTAGATTCAATGATCTGAGATTGCTTGTGATCGCTGTGTTTCTTTTCATTTGGGGGTATACGTCTTTTGATGAATGATGATTATGATGATGATGATCGGACATATACCCCCAAGTCAACCTATCAAACCAAAAGCCACTAAGGAAAGCACAAAGAAAATCGCCTTACCATACATAAAGGATATCTCAGAAATCACTACAAGACTCTTCAAAGCTTTAGGAATTGACGTTGCACACAAACCAACAAAGTCGCTTCAATCAACTCTATGTCAACCAAAAGACTCAACAGCGAAAGAAGATAAAACCAACATCATCTACAAATAAAATGTAACAACTACGAAAAACACTACATTGGCCAAAGTGGACGTCCCCTCCGTCTTCGTATCCACGAACATAAACTAGCCGTCAAAAGACATGATATCCACTCCCTCATATCACTACATACAGACAACCACGGACATCAGTTCGACTGGGAAAACGTTCAAATATTAGACAGACAAAACAACAAGAATTCTAGAGAATTTTTAGAAGCTTGGCATTCCAGTGAATCATCAATCAATAGACACATCGAGATAGGCGAAATTTATCAACCGATAAGAAAGAAACCTCACACACAAAGGTTCAAAGTTCAAGTCAAAGAAACAGTCAGTTCCAATACAAGTAACCTAGAAAGTGTGAAAACACACAAAAACAACCGATCACATCCAAGGTCACCAGGAGAAATGATTGATAAACTCGTGGAGAAATCTAAAAGCTCACTTCAATTCAAATTGAAGTATGCGCTGAAGATGTCGCCTAGTAGGGCAATGAAAGCTTCGCAAATTAACTGTCCAGCTCAGAGAGCACAACCACATCAAAATAATAACAGACTGATGAACGTGATAATAACAAGTTACTTGATAATATCTACACTATCTGATAATACATCACTAGCTAATCGAAGCATTTTTATTTATGCCCACGTTTTTTAAGTATAAACTGATGTAGGATATTTGAACTTTAGTTAATCCATTTGAGACCGTATCCATATTTGTTTGAGTTTTGACACCTTATCTGCAGCATTCATTTAAGTAGTCCATATTCTACGTCTTCTGAATGCCTGTATCAGTTTAAGTCTTACATCTTTAGATTGAAAGGACTTTAGAAAATTTGAAGCACCATCTTAAGTTTCGTATTCGTCAACATTAAACAGTCTCTGTGTAAGCCTTCAGCACTAATTAGTGTATACGAAATGTTTTCACACTTAATTAGAACAATAAACCTCAGTAAAAAAAACTACCTTTTATGTTGATATGGGAGACCGCCTGTGTCTTGCAGTCGAAAGTTGTTCAGATTTTAAAAAAAAGCAAAAATATTTATGATATATTTAATTTAAACAAACATGGAAAAGTTATTTAAAGAAAAATTCTACAGAACTAAGAAAATAAATTAGAAAAAAACACTGTCATTGAAGTTAATTTTTAAAACTTTAGGGAGTTGCAGACTCGCTTATCTCCTCTTCGGACAATGTTGCAAATGAACCACTATGATGATTTCGTTGCATTTTTATTTCCGTCTAAATTGGAACTACAAAAAAGGAAAAGAAATAACACCAAGTCATTGTATCAAAGTATCTCACGTTTTTACTGGTATAATATTAAACTAATATAACAGTAGAATTTGGACACAGTTTTGGAATATAATTCTATATTTTTTGATACAACACATGTCCTATCAATATAATATGTTGTGAGCGATACACTGTTCTCAGTGTCATTCACCTATTAATGTTGCATCACTGTATGTTAAATCTAATACGGAATGTTAGAATGAGGTTGAATAACGATGGACAGATTGATAGAGCTATCCAGTTAATTATCTCATTTTTAAGCAAATTCATTGTTTCTATAGTCAGTCTTGCGGAGATTTTATTGATTCCAGTGTAGATGTAGTCATAGGGAAGTGTTGGTGAAAGCATCACAGTTACATATCATACCTTTGCTTAAGGTTGCTAGATAGCCTCCACTGAGAGGCAACCACCTGCAAGTTCATCAATTTTGTTATGTCAACTGTTGTTTCCTAGGGATATATGATGGAGGCAGAGTTATACTGTTAATTAGCATAAGCTGTAATTCATAAGTTACTAACACTAACTGGTAAATTGGCGGGTGTAGACTCGATAAATCTTCGCTCAGAAGTTCTCATCCTTATAGAGTGTCAAACCAGGGTGACCCGTCCGTCCGGCGGTCTTTGTTTTTCCATAGTTCATATAGCCGATACTACTTGGTTATGAAGTCTACTTCAACTTTAAATTTTGCTATTACGCGTTAATGAAGCGTTCAACATTTCGATCAATATAAAAATGAGAACCGGTATACGTAAAGAAAAGTGGAATCGGAACCATTTTATTTTGGAATAGGATTTGATTGTCTAAATGGCTGAGCAAATTATTGCGCAACATGCATATCCCTGAATTCTGGTGTTACCTAATAAAATAATAACATCAGTGTTTAACAGTTTAAATTACTTCACTCTATAAATGCCTAAAACACACAAAATGGATATTCTTTATAACCGGGTCTGATGGGAATTACGGTATTCGCATTATACCGAAAGTGAAATTTAGTATTATCTTTATAGAAACAATCACAAAAACAGTGAACTAGTCTAGGCGATGAACAAAACTTAATAATTTGCAATCAAATTACCGGGAGTAACATAACTATGAGATACGACCACAGATGAGATCGTGTTATCGGTTATTTTGACGTTTCACCTCTGAGTCACATAGCTTCCAATAAGAAGTAAAGACCTTATTATTATCTAAGCTGGGATAACTTTTGATTTCAGCATGGAGGAATTCAGAAAATATTGTCTGGAATTTCCTTGTAGAGTATAAGTGTAAATTTAATAGTGTCAGATGGTCGCCAATCTAAACAGATTTTATTATTACGACTAGTTTTGATAACTCAGGTTTGTTACTGGATCCTATTACTAATCAAAAATACAGATTAACCAGGGCAATATTCTCATATGAATTTTATTCTTCGAATTTCAGTTAGCTTCTTCAATTTCACAACCCAATTGTCCTCAAAGAAAAATTATTGATGACCATGAAACCAAAGAAACGCCGGACTAGTGAATAATGAAATTATCAAAGCCACCATTGGCAAATATTAAAAAGAAATAAATCCTCTAGGAAGAACTTAACTGCAATACTGACACAGCTTCTGAAACAGATTTCTTCTCTATCCTAAAATCATCCCTCTAACCAACAAAGCCAGGTGAAGATACCTTACAAGAGTTGCGTCAGTCTACCATGTTTATGCCTAAGCATAAAAACCCGAGACTCGAGAACAAAACATTGAAATGACTTAAAAATAGAAAGAAAGTAGTTATACCACGAAATGAGGTAGAAGTAACATTAGTACTTAAAATAGGAAACTGATATACACCAACAAAATATCTCATCCATACACCAGATAATTGGATCGAAAACGCTTGAAGCATACCAAATGAAGTCACAGCGGATCACAAGAAAAGGTCAGTGACAAGTAAAATCTAATGGAATCATTTTACCTCGGTCTTATGGTAGGGTCGAATTACACAAACCAAATATTACCAAAAGTCCAACCGTCTTCCTCTGGGGAACCCAGTTGTACAATCCTTCTAAGGAACTCTTTGGGGAACTAAAATCTGTTACAGAAATTTGAGACCATTCTATGAAATGGATAATTTACTTTCTAATAAAATACAGTGATGTTCGATTAGAAGACTGAAAATATGTTATTCTTCGATTCGGCAGTTTTGTACACTTAAGCAGGAGAAAGAATTTAAGTAACAGCCTTCCGACAGTTAAGAACACCTTTCCAAACACAGTGTTTAAGTTGAATGAAACTCACAGACGAGTGACTTATACTTTCACTTCAGAGAGTTAATATATATGAAGACTAATGGCGGAAGCCGTTATGCAAAGATTAGATCCCACATCACTCTCAGTAATAAAAATAAAAATTTGGATAGTTTACGTAAACGGAACATTAATCGTCATTAAAAAGAACGATTCGGCAATCACTAACAAAGTATTCAGCAGTGTGTCTGACAGTAACAAAAAATTTACAAGAAGAATTAAAAACAAACTTCTTTTTCATATGTGCTGATCAAGAAAACATCTAAAGAATGTCTAGAAACGCAAATTTGCATTCACTCAACGAACGTAGACCGAATACTCATTCCGACAGCATATAAAATGAACTGCATACAAACATTATCCAAAGAAGCCACGATACGCTACAGCACTGCCGTCTTAAGTCGAAAAGAATGGAAGTGTCATCTAGGCGGTTTCCAGAAAAGTGGATACTTAAGGGAATTTATCAAAGAACGCCTACACTCAAATCAAACGGAGACCACAAAATGACCTAATGAATTTAATAGGACGATCATCCTACTAGTATGAAGAATATCTTAGAAATCACTGATATCATATAGCAGCCTTTTAGAACGGAAATTGTCCACAAATTAACACTGTCGCTTCGTTGAATGACATCTAAACCAAAAAACTCAACAGCAAACAAAGACAAAACTAAAATCATCTATAAAGTCAACTAAATCACTTTTGAGATACACATATTTGTTAATATGGAATTCACCTCTATCTTTGTATACTAGTGACCTAAGGACACGTCATATGTCGCTCCATGTCAATGCATGTGGACAACTACAGTGACCATTTAGACTGGGAAAATATGCAGACTTCAGAAAGATGAGATATAAAAACTGTTGAATAAGTCCTAGAAGACTGGTACATGAAGCAATGTGAAGTCAATATATTGACAATGACTAGACTTATCAATCAATAGAAGACAAGTCCCATGGCAAGGTCAACGAAACTATCACTATCAATGGAAGCAAGCGGAGGGATAGAGAAATCTCTGAAGACAACATATCTCCATCAGGATTATAGGGAAAGGTGATTATATCATTCGCAGAGAATTGCAAAATCTAATATCTCTTTGTAGTTAGCACAGAAGAATTTGTCAAGAAAGACACTGAAAGCTTCACAATTAAACCATTCAGCTCAGGGAAAACAATAGCAAAAATCAACTTACTGTTCTACCAGTCAAAATAATGAAAAACGTTTTAATTTTAGTTACCTCCATGTGTGAGATTTGAATGTTTTCATGTGAGATGGCTTCGAACCAGAACTCTTGTAAGTAGATCTTTATTAAAATAAAAATAAAATAATGGGTCAGTCTGCATTCAATGGTTATTTCCCTACAGCTAAAGTGTATGTCAACATTTTCAGATTTTCATGTATTTTAATATTATGGTTAGCTTAGAGAAGCTGCGATTGCACATAAATTATTCAGCTGGTCTCTTTTCATTAAGTACCTAGCATTACAAAGTTATGTTCGCTTTACAAACTAAGATTAAAATACATGACCCGAATAAATAGTAACTTTGGTGTCGCATCACTAGGTTCCACTTCCTAGGTCAGCATTTTTAACTACATTCAATTAGTGTTTTTTCTTGTATGAGAGCATGTAACCATAAGAAAGGTCCTTCCATTTTGTATAAGATACAAGATTTCAATACTTCGATACTCCTGGTTTAAAATTCGGTATAATTCGACTTCATTAACTATTAATTCATGCGTTCACATTTAACAAAATCCTCAGCTTTAGTTAGATACACAAGTAGCAGTCGGAAGCTGTTAACTTGATATCACTGTCAACTCTACGTATTCAATTAACAAAATCCGTTTATTCAGTTAAAATTATCCCTCATTGCGTTGAATCTGTAAAATTCATCCGAATGATATTAGGCTTTGACGTGGCTGGCTTTCCTTCACTCGCCACTATGAGGACAAAGCTCAGATGTTGAACAGAAAGCTAACTGATTGTCTGGATCCTAGAAAACATTGCTGCCTGTACTATTCAGATAAATGGATAAATAAGAGCCTGTCAAAATCAAAGTATTCGTCGATGATCATTTGTATTCTCCGATTTTGCGCTTATTAAATCCGACTCAAATCAATAAGTAATGGGTTTAATTAACAGCTTCTTAGTTTGTTGAATAAACTAGAGCTCTGAAAGGTAGTAGTATTAACAACTGAAAGTTATGCTCAAGTATCAAAGATGACCTAGTTGAAAATAATATATTCAGTGAATCTTCAGAGCCCCATATCAACCTCTCTTTTAAAACTTAGATATCTTGTAACTAACATCTGTTGGTTATTTGTTTTGATTACCTTTAACCTCTTACTTTCACCCCCGCCTATAATTAAAACTGATTAACTAAAATAACGACTTGATTGGTAAAACATTTTGATGTAAAAAATTATATATTAGTGTAGAGCCTATGATAAGGAACTAATTGAAAAGGAATATATTTCTTCGCTCAGTCTGATATTTTTTTCAAAATGAAAACAGTAAACGTCTTTGATTGTTTTAGTCAGGCTGACATCTGTTCCTAACTAGCACTAACTTCCAAATTTAAGCAGAGAAAGTTTCGTAGTTAATAGATGCTGAAGTCATTCTAATGATGCCGCTAGACAGACAACTTAGCATTAAGGTATACATTTAGAGGATCGTTGAAGGATTTTCATTCCTTTTAGAATGACAACATGGACATCAATTATGTTGTGATTACCTACTTCATGTATAAGTGGCTGACATGGACGTAAAATACGCCTGTAAAATCGTTACTTGCCCAAGTTATACACAAGAAGGATAATTCTGTATCCACCGAAAAGATAATAAATCATTTATTTGAACACAATGAAGTATTTTTCCTACAGAAGCTTTAAGTCATACCTAGTTTGTTAAACAGAAATCGATGATGACGATTTATGCCAAGTAGCCACAGGTCAGAAATGACGCTAGGTTTGTGTGGTCTTATCATCAAAACTTTGTGGTGTATGAAAACTGATTCTTGAGGGGTTTGAATACGGTAGGTGGCTTCAAAAGTTCGAATAAGCCCAAAACTTCTCGCCAACTGAAAACACTGGTAAAGGGCGTGAGTTAAAAAAGTAGAAAAGAGGTAAGGCGAAACACCCCTGAAAGTAACGGAAAGTTTAGTGACTTTCGAAGACACATGAACGGAACTTTGGGGAGTGGTTCGCTGCACTGCATCATAGTTATCTACCATCCCAGTTCACTCTGAATGGAAAGCAGTTATCAACTTCCAAAATCCTATCGAAGATAAGAAGGCTGTTTTAAGTAGGAAACAATGCAAAATTTGAGGAGCTAATAGTTTAGCTTTGGAATGTGTTTAATAGTAATAACAAATAATCGTTGGGTTGATTAACCAAGGTTTTAGTTGGTTTACAAGAATTCCGATATAATTCTAGCAAACTGGTGTGGATAATTTATAGTCTCAGTCCCTTTGATAACCACAAAGTTCAACCTAACCAACAGTATATAGAGTCTTAAGTCATTCAAAGACAACATACCCAAGCAGTCTTATGGTCTACACATGGGGACAATAACTAAATCTTCACGCTTCCACAAGCTGTAAAACACACACCTACCAGAGTCCCTCGTTTACTTCCCCTAAGGCAAAATTTGACTGAGCTGATCGAGAAGCATCATAATGTCAAACATTGGAGGAAGTGCCTGGAAAGCACGCTATGATAATCAGGCCACTCTACTCAAACTAACTCAACTGTGTAAAACCTTATATAAATCTGCCATATGAATTGATAACAGCCAATGCTGTTACCTACTGTCATCACTGACATATAAATTAATCATGGATGACCTTTTGGAACTTCCTTAATTTTTTATTGCTGTACGTTCCCAGTGGAACACGGGGCTTCAAGATAGGGACTTAAAGTATCGTTAGCAGTGGTGTTCATTTTTACAGGATGAAGTTGCTAGCCTCATAGCCGACCTTCCCTCTTTATCAGATGTATTACTGGTTTAGAGAGGTAATGAAGTGAGTCGGCTGGGGATTGAACTCGGAACCACATGCATAGTTGGCAAGCTATCTGCTTGTGTGCCACCGACACATAAGGTGGCTTCACTGGAATCTAATACCCTAAACACTAACTTCCTACGAGTGCGTAAGCGGTAGCCGGTTTAAAAATCGCAGGAGTTAGTCCAGCTGGATGATGATAATGATGAAATACAGAGTCTCCTCAAATTACAATGTTTCGAAGTTGTTAGTTTGTTGTGCAGAATTTTTACTTTCACCAAGCCTTATTCTGAATACAGATAGTGAATTGATAAATTAGGTTAACCGTTTCACTCTTCTGAGCGTTCACAATAGCCCCTCAGCATGAATACAGAAATTCTGTTTCTTATTTTCCAGCTTGCTTCATCGGTAACTCCGATATAATATCTTTATGTCAATCTAGCTAACGTTCTGCACAACAGTATACCCTTTCTTGCTTATCCAAGGTGATACATGACTGGTGACTAAACCAGATGAGGAAAGACTACACTTTTGTTAAAGTCAATGAGATTCATAAGACAAACTCAAATCATTTGAAGTTGAATTTCTGAAGAAGAAAAATAAGTCGAGAGATACAGTAAGATGACTTTTTTCAACAAGATGATTGGGGGCAGATATTGATGTAGTTACTCTTCCAACGTTTCGCATTCTCAACCAACTCTTGTCGAACTATAATTTCTTCTACAACGATTTAGGCCGTTGTTGTATCATCATTCTGTGTTTTTTATCTTTCTTTTCTGAGTGCTGAAACTTGAATTGATGCATTTATCTGCTGGGTTCTATACCAGTCCATCTATTTTCCTCTAGTATCATTAGAACTCGCTTGTTTATGACTTTACACTTAAACACATACATTAGTGGTGAGTTAAATTTTCATAGCTTTATGATAATATTTTTTAAACATGACTGAATTTACATTGCACTTCCACTTATCTAAATGTAATTTATGTTTATTACTCAAATTAAGGACTTATTTCTGCGTTACAAAACCTGTTATATTTTTAATAGCTAGTACTTAGTGCTGAACTTACCATTCAACATACAGCTCATTATATTAGCATGCCGACTGTGAACAAAATCACTTATCTCTTTGCAATTAATTGTGTTTCATTTATTTTAGAAATTTCAGTGTATAGTAATAACAAAACTTAAAGAGATTGTTACTCATGCATCTATGTGCTAATTATGTTTGTGAAAACATAATTACTAACCTTTTGAGAGTTTTATTTATATTTAAATAATCAGATAAAATAAGGTTTCTAAAATACATCATCGTTATAACTAATTTCTTCAATTAAGAGCGTCACATCGCCATGATACTTGGTCCTCCGCCATCACTATATGACCACTGTGAGAATACACAAAAGCTATTATCTCCTCATGTGATGTTATCCATTTTTCACGCTGAGAGGTCAATTCAGGTTCCAAGCGGGGACTTTGAGTGTGATAGCCTTCAACAGTATCTACAGCGCATATCGAATTTATCACTATTTCATTCTGCATAACTCTTGATCAACGGATTATTGGCTGGTCGGCTGCTTAACAGATTTCCTTGTTGCTTTTCTTTTCAGGGTGGCTATATAACATTTGGGTGTTAATATAAGTCAGCAATAGCCTGTTGGAATTCCTGGCACACGCACCAACTCTCTAAAGCATATGGAAGCGCTTAGGCGCCGAGTTCTAGGTAAACAGGGGAAATCAATAGATGAGGTTGTGAAGTTACATAGACTGAGATGGCTAGGACATGTGTTACGTATGCATGCCTAGTCATCGCCTTCCTCGATGAGCAGTGTTAGCGGATACAGGGTCAGGCTGGAAAAGAGCTAGTGGAGGTCAAACAAAAACATGGCAACAGTCAATGAAATCTACAACAGTTAGTCTAACCCCTGTAGGAAGGTGTAGACTTCCTGACTGGTTGGGGTCATCGGGACGGTAAAAACCAATGAAGGCTGGAAACAACTGATGACATGGCTCAAAATCGTTCTCAGTGGCGCAGGTGCATCCACTCCCTGTGACTTATGATTTCCAATTAAACTATGTTGATCTTCGTTACTACTATTCCTTAATCTCACTCCTCTGTTTACTGTTATTTATTTATTTACTATTATGCCTTTCTTGTACTTTCTTCTCTTGCTTTGTGTGCTACAAGGAGGGAGTGTGGCGAATGGAAGTGATGCACATATGTGCAAAGTCCTATGTCGAAAACAGACAGACAGACAGACAGGAAGCGCTCACTTACTTGACATTAGTATTGAAAATTAAG